GGCCCTGAAATCAGGGCCATCTCTGCCCCTTACCCACAAAACTGACCAATCCCTGGGCAGAAAAAAACTAACCAATCATGGATTGACTCCCCCCACAGGACATCCTATATAAACTGGCTTGCCTGGTCAGTTGTGAGCTGTTCTCTCCACCCTGGTAGAGGCAGCTACTCTCCTGGACTCCTCCTTCCCAAATAGATCTTTTTCTCACTGGTGCACAGAAGAACCTTGCTGGTACATCCCACAGTGCATTGAGCAAGTGGGGAGCTGAACAGAAGAACCTTGCTAAGACATCCCATAGTGGATTAAGCAAAGGGGAGCTGAACAGAAGAACCTTGCTAAGACATCTCATAGTGGACTGAGCAAGAGAGAGCTGGTAACACTGAGCCAGAGGAGATTATGGCTCTCCTGGAGAGGAGCAAGATTGCTATATCCTGTGGGGAGACCATCCCCCATCACACCAGGTATACCTTGACTTTCCTAAACAGTCAGGATACCCTTCCCTACTGAAGCAGTTCCAGGCCTGACTCTCATGAGAAGTCAGAAAAATTTCCCTTCCAGGGTTGGGCTGCTTCTTTGCAGTTCCAGCCGTCAGAGCTGTGCTAAACAGCTCCAGGTGTCTGGGACACCTTCAGGGCAGAGCTGTTGTTCTGAGCAGCTCAAGGTGTCAGGGATACCTCGCCCTCCAGGGTTGAACTGTCTCCTTGCATTTCAGCCATCAGAGCTGTCCTAAGCAGCTCAAGGTGTTGCCTAACTCCCCAGGTAGTCAGGACACCAAACCCACAGAGCTGCAAAACTCACCTTTTGCAACCAATTTACCTACAGTTAGGGTTACTATTGCTGGATTAAAACACCACAACTTAAAGCAACTTAGGGAGGAAAGGCTTTATTTTGCTTATACTTCTAGTAACAGTTCATCACTGAGGACAGTGAGGGCAGTAACCTCCTGACAGAATATGGAGGCAGGAGCTGATGCAGAGGCTATGGAGTATGGAGGCAGGAGCTGATGTGGAGGCCATGAGGGGTGTTGCTTACTGACTTGTTCCCCATGGCTTGCTCACCCTGCTTTCTTATGAGCACCAGGACCACTAGCCCAGGGTGTCACCATCCACCACAGGCTGGGCCTTCCCCAATTATCAATGAAGAAAATGCCTTATAGGCTCTTGCCTATAGCCCCATTTTATGGAAGCATTTTCTCAATTGTGATTCCCTTCTCTGAGATGAAGCTACCTTGTTTCAAGTTGACATAAAAACTACGTAGTACAGTTTTTACATTTCATACAAAATATTTTCACCCTCTCCTAGTGCTGAGGATTTAACTCAGTGCTTCTTCGTATTTGTAAAGCCATCTGCCACTGAGCCATTCCCTAGCCCACTGTGGTGGTCTGAATAAAAATGGCCACCATAGGCCCATAGGGAGTGGCACTTTCAGGAGGTGTAGCCTTGTTGGAGTGGATGTGGCTTTGTTGGAAGAGACGTGTCACTAGGGGTGGGTTTGAGGTCTCAGATGCTCAAGCAAGACCCAATGTGGCATTCACTTCCAGGCCTGCAGACCCAGATGTAGAAACTCTTAGCTACCTCTCCAGCACCTTGTCTTCCTGCACCCTGTCATGTTTCCTGCTGTGACAATAATGGACTAAACCTCTGAACTGTAAGTCAGCCCCAGTTAAATGTTTTCCTTTATAAGAATTGCCGTGGTCATGGTGTCTCTTCACAGCAATAGAAACTCTAACTAAGACATCCATCAACAGATTATTTAATTCAAAAATCTAATTCCTATGAATCATTTCATAATGAAATTTACATGGCATATTTTGCTGCTTGTATAAAAATTCCCAACAAATTTTAAGAACTCATTTCAATGTAAAATCAATATTATTTAAGAAAATCTAATACTACTTTGCAAGACAAGTCTTTCCTCACAAAGGAATTGTGAGAAAAGAGAGGGACTGTGAGAAAAATGATAGCAAGTAAGCCTGTAACTAAAGGATTTCCTTTTTTTTTTTTTAAAAAAAAAAGAGTGTTTAAGACTGATTTTCTTTTTTTTTTTTTTTTTTTTTGGTTTTCCGAGACAGGGTTTCTCTGTGTAGCTTTGTGCCTTTCCTGGAACTCACTTGGTAGCTCAGGCTGGCCTTGAACTCACGGAGATCCGCCTGGCTCTGCCTCCCGAGTGCTGGGATTAAAGGTGTGCACCACCACTGACTATCATTACAGTACACTCAGAATCTTTCCTGGAAGTTTTGTAAGATTTAGCAAACCAGAGAAGCTACATTAGAAAATTTGCTGTTTCACCAATGCCTTGTTTTTTGATCCAAATGTGCATTCAAGGACCCAGCAAGTTAGAACCATAAAACGCTTAGCAGAACAGGAATCTTTTTTCTTTATTTTAAAGTGGTAAGTTGCAGAGTGTACTTACTTGGGCGCTACACTTTTCTTAACATTGCAAATTATATGTTAACAATGAAAATGTACTAGAAGAATTCAGTTAACAACTAACAAAAGGTTATGAAATCTTATTTCCTTCCTCAAAAAAAGTGTTTCATCATAGAATACTTTTTTTTTGTAAACATTATTGCTTCTATTGTGTGTGTGTGTGTGTGTTGCATGTGCCATGGCAAACATGGGGAGGTCAAAGCAGGAATTGGCAGGGGTCAGTTCTCTTCCTCTCTCACATGGGTCCCTGGGATTGAACTCAGATCATCAGGCTTGGCTGTAGGTGCCTTTAATTACTTTGTTTTCTTGCCAGCCATGGAACACTTGTGGTTTTTGAGACAGTCTGTGTAGCCCAGGCTAGCCTGGAATTTGTTATCTTCCTGCCTTGGCTGAGTGCTAGGGTTATAAGCAAACATTAGCACACCTGGCTACATGATACTTTTAAAAGGAGATATATATACTGTTAGCAGCAGCCACGCCTGATTTAAAAAGTTGCAATTAGTTTCCTGATTTGCAATGTTATTGAAAATTTGGATTATGAGTCTCTGACTGCCCAAAGTTGATGGGATGAGAGAATAAACATCTTTAATCACTTATTTTGCCTGTCTCAACTGTACTTCAGGTGACTAAAGAGATGATGGTAGCAGTTCTTTTTATTAACAGACAATTCCAGCTAATTCTTATATAGAGGTGTGAAAGACATCATGCCACTCCAACTGAAACACGGGCTCTGACAATGACTGCCATGCTGCCTAGAACCATGAGGGGATTATACTGATCTGTGCTCAGTAGCTTGAAAAGACTATTTAGTTTTAGCACTAGCATTGTAACACAGAAAAAAATTACCCATTTTCTTAATGAAGTGAAACACAGACTATGGTCAAGACTCTAAATCTAACTACTGAAACAAAAAGACAGAGTAACACAGTAACACCATGGGGACACATATCTTTTTTTTTTTTTTTTTTTTTGGTTTTTCGAGACAGGGTTTCTCTGTGGAGCTTTGCGCCTTTCCTGGAACTCGCTTTGTACACCAGGCTGGCCTCGAACTCAGAGATCCGCCTGCCTCTGCCTCCCAAGTGCTGGGATTAAAGGCGTGCACCACCACCACCTGGCAGGGACACGTGTCTTAGTTTGGGTTTCTATTGCTATGAAGAGAAACCATGACTACAGCAACTCTTATAAAGGAAAACATTTAATTGGGTGGCTTACAATTCAGGGATTCAGTCTATCATCATCATGGTGAGACACGGTGGCATGCAGGCAGACATGGTGCTGGAGAGGTGGCTGAGAGTTCTCCATCTTGTGCAAGCAACAGAAAGTGAACTAAGATACTGGGAGTGGCTTGACCATATATGAAACCTCAAAGTCCACCTCTGCAGTGACACACTTCCTCCAACAAGGCCATACTTACTCCAACAAAGCCACATCTCCTAATAGTGCCACTCCCTTCGGCGCCATTTTCTTTCAAACCACAACAGACTCAGAAAAGAGATACTTCTGCAAATTGGTAACATTTCTTTGCATGATATTCTGTTTAGCTCCAGATTTTATTTAAAAAAATTTAGGAGTATATAGGTTATTCTGAATAATGACTGCATACTTACTATTAAATTATTAGTATAAAACATTTTGGTTTCAGAATAATCTACTGATGGAGATAAAGGAAACTTTTTCTTGGGGTAGGAGAGATGGCTCAGTTGGTCAAGAGCACTTGCTGCTCTTTCAGAGGATCATGGTTAAGTTCCAGGACCCAACATGGTGGCTTACAATCATTTGAACTCCAGAATCCAGTGCCCTTTTTTGGCCTCATTGGGTACTAGCATGCATGTGGTACACAACATACATGTAGGCAAAACTTTTATATACACTAAATAAAAATAAATAAACCTTTAAAATACTTATATTCTTATTTAGAAGTACATATTAAAGTATTCACAAGTGAAATGATAAGTTTGTGATTTTCTTTAAAGTTTTCTGGGGTGAAGGGACATGTAGGTAGTATACAGATAAAAATTATCTACATATATGTAGCATTTATAATTTTTAAAGCTAGGTAATGGGTAAATGTGTACATATCACAGTATTATATGTTTAAAATTTCCCACAATAAAGAATTTTCAGGCCTGAAGAAGTAGCTCCGTGGTAAATTAGTCAGCAAGTGCAGCACCACAGTCAACAACAGTTCTTAAATGCCCCTTTTCAGTATACAAACGAAATAATTTTCAGCCATTAATTTTATGGTATTTATTAGTAAAAAATTTAAATGTAAAGGGAAAGAAATATTGAGCAACATATGTCCAAATTATCAAAAATTCCTAAACAGTGAAGAATTCAAATTACCAGGTGGTTAATGTGCAACAAAAGCTGTAAGAAGTAAGGTCATATTTATCACACTAAATACTTCCTCTTATTTCCAGGATATTAACCTTTGGCTACTTATTTTACACTGTAACTTTTTAAAAGTTTGATCATAGCATAGTGGGATTAAGAAATGATTTTTAATGTGATATAAAATCCCATCATTCTTAGGCAGATCAAAACAAATGTTTCATTTCTGTACAACTCACCTGCTGTAAAGTCTTCAGTCAGATCAATAAATGCATGAGAGTGTGGATTCCTCATTTTACTTTTAGTAGTCAAGGCAGGATGCCAAGATAAATTTCTAAAATATAAAAAAAAAATTCCTTAGGGAAAGTACCAAGTAAGTATTATACTAAAGCATAAAAATATTGGCAAATGATCAATTAAAATATTTTTCATAGTAATTAAAAATTATTTCATATACTATAAAATCAACATTTTTAATATTTACAGTGTAAAGTCCTTGCTTCTCTCAAAGTCCAAAACATTTTCATTTGAAAAAGAAATTTCAGATGCATTAGTCACTCCCCATTTCCTTCCTTTGGCAACCACTAATTTGGAATTTAGTATTTCCCAACCCAGGCCGCTGCACATAAATGTACACATAACAGATGGCACTTTATATGCAGCTTCTCTAATTTTCAAGTTCATTTACACCGCATGCATCAGAACTGCATTATTAATCTGGGCGTGGTGGCATTTGAGAGGCAGTGGCAGGCAGATTTCTGTGAGTTTAAGGCCAGCCTGTTCTACATAGTGAGTACCAAGCAAGTCAGAGCTATTCAGTTGGACTCTGTTTCAAAAAACCAAAACAATAAATCCTTCTTGTTTAAAAAACAAACAACAACAACAACAAAAAAAAACCCCCAAGATTTCTCTGTGTAGCACTAGCTGTCCTGGAACTCACTCTGTAGATCAGACTGGCCTCAAACCCAGAGATCTGCCTGCCTCTGCCCCTTGAGTGCTGGGATTAAAGGTGTGAGATACCACTGCTCGGCAAACCCTGAATTCTCTTTCAGTGGACTTAACATTCTGCTGTATGGGTTTACAGTTTGTTTACTCAGTCATCCGGTGAGGGACATCTGGTTGCTTCTACTTTTGCTTGTTCATTTTTAAGATTTTTTTTTTTTTGGATGAAATGTTTTCAACTGGAGTGGAATTGCTGGGTTATAATGTTTACTTTTTGAGGAACTATGCAAACTATTTCCCAAGGTGATTTTATTATCTTGTATTACCATCCTGTAGCAGAGAAGGAATGTTTTTACTGCTGAATCTTTGAAAATTTGCCCACCATCCCAGAAGAGTTGCTTTGTGTTTTACTCATGGCTAATGAGCTCAAGCATATTCACATGTTTCTTGACCATTTGTAGTTCTTCACTGGGGAAATAACTGTTCAAATCATCTGCTGATATTTCAATTGTGTCTTTCATTGCTTGGTTACTGATTCATTAGAGTTCTTTGGATATTAGATGTTAGACATCACTGTTTTCCAGTCTCAGGGTGTCTTTCAATTTCTTGATGGTGATCTTAGAAATAAGTTTTTAGTTTTGATGAATCCCACTCCATCTACTTTTCTTTTTGTTACTTGTTCTTTTGGTATTATATAATGTCATAAAGATTTATGTGTTTTCTTCTAAAAGATTTATGGTTTTAGCTCATATTGGCCTATGATTCTTTTGTAAAATAAGAAAGCAAATAATTTTATTTCATAAAAGTGGTTTAAAGAATGATGATTATTTAGAGCAGGAGAGAGAATGGATTTGAAGTCTATTTCACAATATATGCAAAATATTAAGTCAAAATATACCAAAAAGGTAAAACTATACAATTCCTAGAAGTAAATGCAAAGAAAATACTAATGTCTTTGGATATGGCAAGGAAAATTATTTGTCCTGAGACAGAGTCTCATTATGTATCCAAGGCACCTAGAACTTATAGAGATCTACTTGCCTCTGCCTCTCTAGTGCAGGGATTAAAGATATGTAACATCATGCCCTTGGCAAGGAATTCATAAATCTTGTCTCCCTCACCATCACCACACAACAAAAGCAAACAGATGAGGGCTGGAGGGATGGCTTAGTGGTTAAGAACAGTTACTCTTGCAGAGGACTGGGGTTTGATTCCCAACACGCACCTGGCAGCTCACAGCCATTCCTAATTACAGTTCTAGGGATTTGATGCCCTTTTCTGACTTCCTCATGTACTAGGCATGCATGTGGTGCACAGACATACACTCAAACACTAAATAAAATTAATAAATCTTTAAAAGCAAATAGATAAACTATACCATTAGAAATTTAAAAAAACTGCATGCATCAAAGGAAGGTGAAAGGACTATGTGCTGACATAAAAACTACGTTTTTATCTCAACTTGACACAGGCTAGAATTGTAAGGTAAAAACCACAATTGAAAATGCCCCATTACATAGGCCTATGGGGCATTTTCTTGATTTGTGATTGATGTGGAAGAGCCCTGTGGCACTGTGGGTGGTGCCACTCCCAGGCTGGTGTCCTGGGAACTGTAAGAAAGCAGGCTGAGCAAGTCATGAAGGATCAAGCTAGTAAGCATGTTCCTTCATGGTTTCTGCTTCAGTTCCTGCCCTGACTTCCCTGAATGATGGATTACAAGCTGTAAAATGAAATAATCCCTTTCCTCCTCAAGTTGCTCTTGGTCACAGTGTTTATCACAACAATAGAAAAGTAATTAAGACAGAAGATTATTATTAGGAGTGGGGTATTGCTATGATAGACCTGACCATGTTTTGGGGATGATTATAGAAATACTCTGAGCCAGAAAAGTCACTGAGTGTTTAGAACTTAATGAGCTGTTGTGGGAATGTAGAATAATTCTGAGAGAAGTACAGATTATTAATAAAGACCTGGCCTGTCAATTTTCAAAATCCCACCAATAATCTATCATGGTGGCTCATGTGGTACTTTGAATTAAGAACCCACTAAAATTAAACCTTTGCTTTCCTTGGATAACTGATACTGGTCAGTTGGGGCTGACTAAGAAGATAGCAGCATCACTGAGGCAAAATCTTCTGGGAAGTGTTTCCTCAGGGTCAGTACAAAGAAGCTATGATCCAGAAGGGGCCAAGACTATACCACATGTTGGCAGTAAAGCCTGGTAATATGTAAGAGTTTCCCAGGTGGTACTGGTCATGAAGGCTTGAAGGGATCAAGTACAGCAGCAGAGGTTTGCACTGTGAGCGACTAGGAGAGGCCACTGGTGAAGAAACAGCCTTAGTTGAAGTGGAAGCCCTGGGACTGAAGGGGACACGGAGAGAAGCTGATGCTTAGGACCATATGGCAGAGTCAAAGTCCCAGAAGAGTCCAGGAGAGGCTATGGGTGAAGGTGCATCCCAGCTACATTGAAGACCTCAGCATTTGGAGATGCCAGTACGATGGCACAACTACCAAGAATAGCAGCAGTTGTAGAGTGGAGCTGGCCTGAGCCTTTGACATGAGCTATGGGTCCTGTGACAAGGCTTTGAAGCCTAGAAGACTGTGAGTCTCAGAAGTTTGACACTGAGCTTTATAATGCTGTATAAAACTTTGGTTTGAATGTAACTGTGCCTGGTTCTTCATCTTTGAGTAAATAGTATTTAACTTAGTTTTGATTTTGCAGGAGCCCACAGAGACTTTGGAAGTTTTGAGAGACTTTGGGTGTTTTAAAGAGACTGAACTTTTAATGTACTTGAATTTTTAAAGACTGGGAGTTTGGAAGTTATTTTCGTGTTTTATATTGTAATGCTGTTATTAATATAAGGCCTTGGAGATGGACAATAAAGGAAAGGTTATAGTTGAATAGTGATGTGTTTGTATGTCAAGTTGACAAGGAGTCAATTGTGCTGCCTGGTGTTTATGTCAACTTGGTACATGCTAGTGTATATGCATGCATGTGTAAGTGCATGTGGAGGCCCAAGGTTAACAGTGGGAGTTGTCTTTGATAACTTTCTACCTTAAACATCGAGCAGTGTCTATAGATGAACCCAGAACTAAATGTCTGGTTTAGCCTGGCTCGCCTGGAAATTCTGTCTCCCGCTTGCTGGGATCATAGGAGGCCACTATGCCCAATCAGGCTTTTGTATGAGATCTAGGGATCTATTGTCTTCAGGCTCCCATGGCATATGCTTTACCCAGTGAACCACTACTCACCCTACAATCTATTTTTAAAATGGGCAAAGGACTAAAAACTTCCCCAAAGACTTAGAACTGTTGGGTACGGTGATGAATGCCTCTAATTCAAGCATTCAGCAGACTAAGGCAGAAGGTTAATAAATTTGATGCCAGCCTGGGTAACATGAGTTCCTGGTCAGCCTAGGCCAGCTGAGACCTTGTCTCAAAAAACCAAACTAAACAAAAACAAAACACTCCCATCAAAACCCAAATCAACAACAACAAAATAGAAACTAAGCCAAGGGGCTGGAGATATGGCTTAGTGGTTAACAGAGCATACTGCTCCTGCAGAGGACCCTAGTTCAGTTCCTAGCACCTACACCAGGCAACTCACAACTGCTCATAACTCCACCTCCAGGAAATCCTATGCCTCTAGCCTCTGTGGACACCTGCAATCACAGGCACAATATAAACACATACATAACTTAAAATAATAAAAATAATAAACCTTAAAATAATAAACAAGGAAAACAAAAAAACTGGCTACTCCATACATTGAAGATGCACATCATTATTGATCATTAGGGAAATGCTAATTAGAGTCACCATAAGAAATCACTTTACCATCACCAGAATGGTGATTGTAAGCTGCTTTTGGTATTAATTAGGGAAGCTTCTCTTTACAATGGATGGCAGTGAATGAATACAGAGACTTGGCTGCTCAAGGTGCTAAAAATAATGATGTCCACACAAGACTGAATCTGTCAACAGCCAGTCATAGATGGAGGGGGGCCTCTTGGGGTCCACCTCCCTGCTGAACTACTGGCTGCTAATGGATTCTGGGAGAGAGTGAGTCACTGTCTTCAGATCTGTATCTACTGGTAAATCCACCAGGAACCAAGGTTTCTATTTGTGGCTGATTTTGGTGTTTTTGGAAAGCAAAAAGACAGAACAAAGTAATTTGTTCTTAGAAGGCTGAATGTGGGAAAAGAATAAGTACTTGTCAAGTAAAAACTTTCTCTCCCTAAAGCAAGAAACAGCAGCCTCTTCTTTAGAATCTTTGTTCACATTCAATTCAGCATACACATAATCTTTTAAGTTAGACTAGAGAGTAAAATCAAAACCAAATAGCATACAAATTAGCTTCAATTGAATTAAAAGCAGGTTTCCTGACACTGA